TATGTGCCGTCGAGTCAAACCCGACTCATAGCGACCCCTCCTTGGGTTTCCGAGGCAGTATCACTACGGAAGTAGGATTGCCCAACCTTCCTTCCGAAGAGTGGCTGGTGGATTTGAACCGCCAGCCATCTGGTTAGCAGGCAAGTGTCTTAGCCACTATGCTACCAGAGCTCCCATCATTGATTTCTTTGCTTCCTTCTCCCAATTTGAATACCTTTTATTTCTAGCTTAAGGGGCTCTGGTGGTGCAGTGTCTAAGGCATTTGACTGCTAACCAGAAGGCTGGCAGTTCAAACCCACCAGGGACTCCACAGAAAGAAGATGGGGCAATCTACTTCTGTAAAGATTTACCACCTTGGAAACCCGATGAAGCTTGCTATGAGTCAGAATTGACACAATGGCAGTAGGTGTTTTTTTTTTGTTTGTTTGTTTAGTTTAATTGCTTGGGCTAGATCTTCTAGTACAATATTGAATGAGAGTGAGAGTAGACATCCCTATCTTGTTCCTGATCTTAAGGGGAAAAGCTTTTAGTCACTATTTCTACCCTGAGTATGATGTTAGTTGTGGGTTGTTCATGAACGCTCTTAATCATGTTGAGGAATTTTCCTTCTTTTTCTAGCTTGTTAAGTGTTTTTATCATGAAAGTGTATTTGGATTTTGTCTGTGAGTCAATTGAGACAATCTTGTGGTTTTTCTCTTCCTGTTAATGTGGTGTATTACATTGGTTGATTTTTGAAACTTGAACCTGCATTCTTGGGAGAAATCCTACTTGATCATGGAGTATAATCCTTTCAGTGTTTTGTTGAGGCTTCTTAAAAGGACGTTGGTCTGTATATTTCTTGTGGTGCTTTTGTCTGGCTTTGTTATCAGGATGATGGTTGCCTTACAGAATGAGTTAGGATGTATTCCCTCCTGTTCTATTTTTAGAAGGATTAGACTCACTTCTTTATCAGTGATAGGTAGAATTTCCCAGAGAAGAGTCTGGTCCAAGGGTCTGACTTCTTGGAGATTGTTGTGGGGATTGAGATACTCTAGACAAATGTGATTTGCACAGCTCATACAAGATGTTCTTATTCCTCACTGCCTTTTAGCTCACTGCTTCTTAAATATTTTATTTTTCCCACAGACCACAGCACTTTTCATCGGTGTGCCCACATTTTTGATCATGCAGTTATTGATTATCATTTCTTCCTCCTTGTTGTCTATTCTTTAAGGAGCAGTTACCTTGGAAACATGGCAGAAGCAGTTTTCCATGCCCCAAAGAGGAAGCGAAAAGTGTATGAGCATTATGACTCTCCATTGCCGATCCCTTTTGGTCAGGACCATGGTCCTAAGAAAGAATTCAGGATGTACCGTGCTGAGATGATGAACAACAACGTGATTGTGAGGGATGCAGAGGATATTGAGCAGCTGTATGAGAAAGTGAGTGCTGGCAGCCTTGGTGAGGCTAGTTCCCGAGCAAGCTGTCCTTTTTCCTTCTCCTCCCCATTCCACCCTCCCCTAAAACTAACTGTAAAAAATGCCCACTGTTCCCTTGCAGCTTGGTACAGTGTAGGGATAGTACTGTGTGAATTGGGTGCCTAAAGCCTTACATTACGAGAGTATGTAAATGACAGATAGGATGTTCTTGTGAACCTACATTTCAATGATGAAATAAGAGTCAATAGATTGGTCTTTTTTCTCTTGATTATAAAAGCAATGCATGTTCATTGTACAATTAAAAAAAAAAAAAAACTAGCAATTTATATAAATATAATGGTAAAAAGTGAAAATTCGCCCACTCACTCCCATTCCTGTTCCCAGAGGTAACCGCAGAGCGGGCGTAGCATTCCAGACTTTTTTCTTTCTTTTTCCATGTGTCAGTTTTGAAACTAATGCTTCAGAGCCACAGCTCCCTGAGCTCTGTGGGAGAACAAACTTTCTGTCACCACAAGACAAAGATTTTGGACTAAGGCACACAGGCAGTGAGCGAGCATCATGGTGGCAGGTGTAGGAGTGTAGTGTCTCCCTTCCCATGGTTGCCATTTGGGGAGCTACTGCTCTGGCATTCAGACAGATCGAATGCAGCTTGAGAGTGTACTGGCTTCTTATCTGCTCGCTCTCTAGTTTGGGGACCTCTTAGTTGAGGATGAGCCCTGGCCTTTACTAGTTTCCAGCAGCACTCTAGGTCTGAGTTGAGACTGGTGGCTTGCTTCCCTTCCTTCCTTCTTTCCTTCCCTCCTCCTTTCTTTCTGTTTTCCCCATAGCCTATTGATTGCTGGGGGCATTTATTTTTAACAACTTTACAGAGGTATGATTTACATACCATATAATCCACCCATTGTAAATGCACAATTCAAGAATTATAGTAAATTTACAGAGTTGTGCAACCATGGTTACAGTCCAGTTTTCTAATACTTGCATCACCACAGAAAGTTCCTTGTGTCTGTTTGCACTTAACCTTTCCTCTCACTCTCAGCCTGAGGCAACCACTGATCTGCTTTCTGCCTGTATAAATTTGCCTTTCCTAGGAAGTTTATAAAGAGCTCTGGTGGCCTAGTGCCTTAGGCATTTGACTACTAACCAGAAGGTTGGTGGTTCAAACCCACCAGCCACTCTGCTGAAAGAAGATGGGGCAATCTACTTCCGTAAAGATTTATAGCCTTAAAAACCCAATGAGGGTTGTTGTGAGTCAGAATCAAGTTAATGGCCATGAGGGTTTTTTTTTTTTTTTTTTTTTTTTTTTTGAGTTTAGACAGTTTACGTAAAGAATATGTATTGTTTTGGGGATCAGCAGGAAGGAAAGAAGTAGTTCAATTTTAGGATTAAAAAGAATTTGAGATGCCAGTTGCACAACATGGTAAATGTAATCAATGACACTGAATTGTGTACTTAGAAATGGTGAGAATGGCAAATTTTATGTTATACATAACTTATCACAATAAAATTGAGAGGGAAAAAAAAGGAATTCGAGAAGCTTTTAAGAAGCTTTTTTACCTAAGTGGACAGGGCCCCATTCAAATGTGCTGTGTTCTTAAGCATGTGGAAAGAAGAGTTTGCTCTGTTGCTTTCAGCTCACCAGACACAGACTGAAATATTTTGTGAGATGAGCGAATGGTCCTAAAACCTTATTAAACGGTACTAAAACCCTTCAAACAATGGAAGGAATAAAATGATAAGATCTTTATAGTAAGCATTAGATAGATAACCAGAATAAAATGTAAAGCTATGAAAAATAGGCTTCTGTTGTTAACTTAAGGAGTTATTTAGCTCAGCTAAGACATTGATCACTAAACATGAACTAATTATGTTTTTTGTTTTTCCCCTCTTCCTGGAAGGGTTATTTTGGAAAAGGTATTCTGTCAAGAAGCCGTCCAAACTTCACAATTTCAGATCCTAAGCTGGCTGCTAAATGGAAAGGTAAAAACTTGTACATCATTCTTGTGTCAAATTATCATTGCCTTTCATGTTTGATCTTACACCTCAGGTTACATAGTAAAATTCTAGGGGAGAAGTAACATGCTCCCTGTCAACGTTACTGCCAAAAATCGTAACTGGAATAATTCTAATCAAGTGAAAATATGTTTTATAATTTCTGGAATGATCAAAAGTTTCATTTAGGTTCTTTGTTTACCTAGCAGAATACCACATGAGGGGCCAGTACTGGTAGTTAAGTACCTGTTCACACGTGGCACTAGGTAAAATGAGTTGTATATTTTATTTTCCAGAAGTAGACATTTACAATAACCATGACATTGATATATTTGTTAAATCATAGTAAAGCATGTAGTTTTCACTTGCTGAGTCTCTTTTCTTTTGTTTTTCACAGATCTTTTTATCTTAATGTTATTTTTCAAAGGAAATCTTATAATAATTACATGAGAACTAGTAAGTTACAAAATGATTAGAAATGATTTTTTAAACTTTTTATTGTAAGAAAAAATAGAAATTTAAAACCACATGAGAAAACAGGAGCAAAAGACAAATAAATAGGACTTCATAAAAATTAAAAACTTTTGTTCATCAAAAAAAACAAACACCCTGCCATAAAGTCGGATCCAACTCATAGCGACCCCTCCTTGAGTTCTGAGGCGGTATCACTACAGAAGTAGATTGCCCAGTCTTCCTTCCAAGAAGTGGCTGGTGGGTTTGAACCACCAGCCTTCTGGTTAGCAGTCAAATGCCTTGAAAACTTTACCAAAAAAGTGAAAAGACAATCTATTGACTGGGAGAATATCCTCAGAAACCATGTATCCAACAAGAACCAAAATATATAAAATTTTGACAACTTAACAATAAAAGGACAAATACCCAATCATAAAATGAGCAAAGGATTTGACAAAACATTTCACCAATGAGGACATTCAAATGACCACTAAACACATGAAAAGATGCTCAACGTCATTAGCCATCAGAGAGATACAAACCAACACCACAGTGAGAAACCATTTTACTCCCTCTAGGATAGTTAAGGAGCTCTGGTAGCATAGTGCCTAAGGCACTTGACTGCTAACCAGAAGGCTGGTAGTTCAAACCCACCAGCCATTCCTCGGAAGGAAGGTTGGACAATCCTACTTCCGGAGTGATACTGCCTCGGAAACCCAAGGAGGGGTCGCTATGAGTCGGGGCCGACTCGACGACAAATAACAACAACAACAACAGGATAGTTAAGGGAGGAAAAAACAGAAAATAAGAACTGTTGGAGAGGATGTGAGGAAATTAGAACCCTTACTGATTGCTGGTAGGGTAGTGCAAAATGGTACAGCCAGGGTGGAATACAGTGTGCCAGTTTCTCAAAAACTAAAAATAGAACTACCATATGACCCAGCAATCCCACTCCTAGCAATCCCACCGAAAAGACTTGAAAACAGACTCAGAGACTTATACACCAGTGTTCACTGCAGCACTATTCACAATAGCCAAAAGGTAAAAACAACCAAAATGTCCAGAAACAGATGAATGGATAAACCAAATGTACATACATAAAATGGAATACTACTCAGTAAGAGATGTGAAATCTTGAGGCATGCTATGGTATGGATGGAGCTTTAAGACATTATGCTGAGCGAAATAAAGTCAGTCACAAAAGGACAAATATTGTATGACTTCATTTATATAAAAAGACAAGAAAAGGCAAATGTACAGAGATCAAAGTTTATTAGTATTTACCAGGGGTGAGAGGAAGGGGAAAATGTAGGTTAATGGTGATGGAAAAAATCGCATTAATTAAGGGTAGGGTTGCACGATTATTTGTAATCTCTGTCAATAAGTTAAACATCCGTAAAGAGTTGAATTGGCAAAACTTGTGTGATTGATACATTTATAACAATGGCAAAAAAAAAAAAAAAGACTGGCTGCTGAGGCTGCTTATGTACAACCAGAAACCTCACAGGCAGTTTGGTTTCTTGGTTTAGAGGTTTGGGGTTGTGGTTTCATGGACATCCCAGTTAACTAGCCTAATAATATGATAGTGTTTCTGTTCTGCCTCCTAATTCAATGTATCTTAAAAGACCTGGGGTCTTAAAAGCTTGCAAGCAGCCATCCAAGGCAGAGCAGTTGGTCTCTATTCTCCTGGAACAACAGAGGAAGTAGAGTCAGAAATAGAAGGAGGATGTGGAATGTATGGCTAATTGCCTCCATGAACAACTGCCTCCTTTGCCACGAGACCAGAAGAACTGGATGGTGCCAGGCTACCATTAGTGAACATTTTGATAAAAGACTCCATAGAAGAATATGGATCAAAAGAGAGAAAATATAGAACAAAATTACAAATTCTCATGGACTCCAGACTTTCCGGAGGCATGGAAGCAGGATGAACCCCTGAAACTAGAGCCTTGAGATAGTCCTTAAACCTTATGCCAAAAATATGCCCTGAAGTCTTCTTAAAACGAAATAATAGTTTAGCTTGACCAGTAAAAATTATTTCATTATGTTCTTTTAGGAACTACCTAGATGGGATCAAATTGTTAACAAACAGCAACTCAAAAGATTAGATAGGAACCTTAGGGGGCAATGAATTTATGTTAATGAGGGAGGAACAACTCAAAAGGAGGGTGAGAAAGGTTATACAACTCAAAGAACGTAATCAATGTCACTGAATTGTACATGAGAAACTATTGAATTGGTGTATATTTTGTTGTACATATTCTCAACAACAGCAACAAAAGCATAAAATAAATATAACCACACTAAGATACCATTTTTAGTAGTCAGATTGGCAAAAATCCAAAAGTTTGACTACTTACTAGTTGGTGATGCCCTGAGAAACAGACTCAGGCGCTGGTACCACCTGTGAGGAGGGGAATTTAGCAACATCTAGCAAAATTGTCTATGTATTTATCTTTAACCCACAATCCCATTTCTTGGAATTTATCTTAATAATACTGGCAAAAATATGGAAAGAAATATATAGAAGGTTACCATTTGCAATATTATTTGCCTGAACCCAACCTGAGTGTCCCTTAGGAGGAGACTGGTTAAATAAACTCTAGTACATTCATACAGAAGTGCTGGGGACCTGTAAAGAAAAATGAGGATGAAAGATAGATTGTTAAGTGAAGAAAGAATTGTGGACAAAAACGAACTCCAGATGGATCAAAGACTAAAATGTAAAACTATAAAGTTCATTGAAGAAAAAATAGGGGCAAACTTGTTTGTGTTATGTGCCGTCGAGTCGGATCCGACTTACAGTGACCCCTCCTTGGGTTTCCGAGGCAGTATCACTACAGAAGTAGATTGCCCCATCATCCTTCCAAGGAGTGGCTGGTGGGTTTGAACCACCAACCTTCTGGTTAGCAGTCAAGTGCCTTAGGCACTACGCTAGCAGAGCTCCTGGGGCAAACTTAGGGGCCCTAATTTATGGCATAAGTAGACTTCAAGCATAACCCAAGAACAAACAGCAGAAGATAAACTAGATGATTGTGACATTCTGAAAATTAAATTCTTATGTGCATTAAAAGACTTCTCCAAAAGAGTAAAAAGAGAACCTACAGAATGGGAAAAAATACTCAACAATGACTTATCAGACAAAGGACTCATACCTAAAATTTCTAGAAAACCAACACATCAACATCAAAAAAACAATCCAATTAAAAAATGAGCAGAAGACATGAACAGACCCTTCACCAAAGAAGATATTCAGGCGGCCAACAAACACAAGAAGCAATGTTCACAATCGGCCATTAGAAAGATGCAAATCATAATAACCATGAGGTACCATCTCACCCCAGCATTAATAGCAAAGTTCAACAAGACAGAAAATAACATGCTGGAGGGGATGTGGAGAGATTGGGACTCTCATACACTGCTGTTGGGTCTGTAAAATGATATAACACTGTGGAAATTGGTATGGCCATTCCTTAAAAAGTTGAAAATAGAAATATCATTTCACCCAGCAATCCCATTACTAGGTATATACCCTAAAGAAGTGAGAGGCAGGATATACACATCCATGTTCATTGCAGCACTACTCACAATAGCAAAGAGATGGAAAAAACCTAAGTGCCCATCAACCAAGAAATGGAAAAACTGTGGTACGTACAATGGAATACTATGCAATCCTAAAGGAATAGTATAGAATCTGCAAAACACCACATAAAGTGGATGAACTTGTAGGACATTATACTGAGTGAAATAAGTCAGTCACAGAAGGACAAATATAAAGTCCAGTATTATAAAAAGTCAGGGAAAGGATTATACATAGAAGGAAATTTTCTGTATTGGTTACCAAGGAGGGGAGGGGAGCGGAGGGAAAATTTCTAGATAGGTTGAAAAAAAAGATATATGTGTATATATGTGTGTGTGTGTGTGTATACACACACACATACTAATCTTCTTTGGTATATATATGTGTGTGTGTGTGTGTGTGTGTGTTTGTGTGTGTGTGTTGTTGTCACTGTTGTTATGTGCCGTTGAGTCGGACCCGACTCATAGCGACCCCTCCTTGGGTTTCCGAGGCAGTATCACTACGGAAGTAGATTGCCCCATCTTCCTTCCGAGGAGTGGCTGGTGGGTTTGAACCGCCAGCCTTCTGGTTAGCAGTCAGATGCCTTTGGCACTATGCCACCACAGTTCCCATCCCTCCCCATATAAGCATTAAAAAAAAAAAAAACAACTCTAGATTTCTATAAAATTATATATATGTATGTATATATATATACACATACACACACACACACACACACACATACACTACCAGAGCTCCGGCAATCATTTTTTTTGGTAGTGTTGGTATTGTTATTCTGAGACTGTTGCGTATATGTTATATGATAAAGCAAATGTTGGTGTAATTGACGGTCCCTGGGTTGTGCAGGTGGTTTACCACTGACTCAGAACCACCCAGCAGTGCTGCAGAAGAAAGGCTTGGCAATCTGCTTTGGTAAAGATCACAGCCAGGAAAACCTTATGGAGCAGTTCTACTCTGTAGCACATGGCGTTGCCATGAGTCAAAATCAACTCGATAGCAACAGGTTTGGTTTTTAGTTTTTGGTTTTTGGTTTTAGTGTGGTTAAAGACGGATTTTTTATATGGAACATCTTGTACCAGAAAGCAAGGAAGCTTGTTAGAGACTACCAGGCTATTTCAAAAGGAATCAGGCACTAAATTGAAGATGCTCTCACTGGCAAAAGATGGAAACATTTGCAATTCAGTAAGAATAACTTCAATTTCTTTCAAAATTCATTCATAATGATGCAAAAAAAAAAAAAAAAGTATAAATCCTTTAGTTCATAATAATCTCCCTCTCCTCTTCTTCCCTCACTACCAAAAGTTTATTGTTCACCTTTGAAGGATGCTAAGGAACTATTCATTGTTTTGAAAACTGGGAAATAGAGAAAGAATCCAGTATTTTTTCTGTCTTTTGTATATGTACTTTTTCTCAAAGTAACCAAATAGTTAATGAGAAGAAATTTCTTTTTATAGAAGGACCCCTGGTACTAAACAAAGAAAGAATAATAGGATTAGAATGTCACCATTGTGTAACATCCAATGAATTAATAGATCTAGGCATTGATCAGCACTGGTACTGACATCATAGGAAGAGATGAGAAGATATTGTCTCCTTGTGGATGCACCACTACCCATGATGTTTTCTTCCCAGCAAAGTGAGCCTGATTCATTGAGTCTCTAGATCCATCAGGTCATAGGAAATACCAGCTAGAGAGGAACATGTTAAGCCAGTGATGTTCAAAATACCGGAATTTGGGGAGAATAAGAACTTTGCACTGTAATGGAAATCAACATACAGCTTTCTTCTCCATGACAGTCTGGCTGTGAAACTAAGGTCAGCTGAATGACAGTGTGCAGAGTGAGACAGCTGATTAGATGTTGGTGGAACCTCATTTCTTCTTGGACTGTCCACAAGCAGTTTGAGCATCAACAATTATTCTGTGGCCACACTGAGTTGTTTTTGTCATCGTTGGCTACTGTCAAGTCAGCCACCTACTCACGGCAACCCCAGGCACAAAAGAACAAAACAGGGTCCAGTCCTATGCCCTCCCCATGATCTATTATGCGTCAGACCATTGTTATCATAGGGTTTTCTTTGGCTGATTTTTGCAAGTTGATTACCAGATCTTTCTTCTTAGTCTGTCTTAGTCCAGAAGCTCTGCTGAAACCTGTTCAGCATCATAGATAGCAACTCCACTGCCAGGTGATGGCTGCGGATAAAGGACATTGGCCAGGAATTGAACCCAGGCAAGAATTCTACCACTGAACTAGTAGTGCCTCATATACTTTGACTTGTTGTGTCAGTTCCCACTCAACAACCCTAAAGGACAAGGTGGAACTGCCCAGAGGGTTTCAAAGGCTGTAAATCTCCACAGAAGCAGACTGCCACATCTTTCTCCATTGCAGTGGCTGGTGGGTTTGAACTGAACTGACAGCTTTTCAGTTAGCAGCCAAGCTCCTAACCATTGCACTACAAGTGCTCCTTACACTTTGAGTGCTGCTGTGTTAACAGCACAGTAGAACATGGTCATCTGGAACCAGACTGAGGGAGATTCTGCAAGACAGACAATCCATTTCTTCAACAAATAAACTACAGGAGAAAAAAAATCATTGAGGGGGAACCCAGTGATTAGACTTAAGACAGATCAGTCAATTGCAATGACCTTAGTTGGATCTTGAATCAAACAAACTTTAAACAAAGGAAAAACATAAGATAATTTAGATTTTGTATGATGCCAGGAAATTAATGCTTAGTTTTTAAAGTGTGATGGTGATATTGTAGTTATTTATTTATTTTTTTAAAAGAGTCATTATAGAACTACATACTGAAATATTTAGAAATGAAATGCTATGATATCAGGGATCAATTTTAAAATAATCTAGGGGCTGGGAAAGTGGGTGGAAGAATAAATGAAGCAAGATTGGCTGTAAATCAATTGTTAAAGCTGTGCATGGGATTTTTTTGTGTGTGTGTGCTGTTCTCTCCACTTTTGTGTATGTTTGAGATTTTCCATAGTAAAAAGAGAGGAGGGGAAAAAAACAAAAAGTGGAGCAATTAGTATAATGATCCTGCCTATACCCTTTACTCGGGAGCTCTGGTGGCATAGTGCTTAAGGCATTTGACTGCTAACCAGAAGGCTGGTGGTTCAAACCCACCAGCCACTCCTTGGAAGGAAAGTTGGCCAATCTACTTCCTTAGTAATACCACCTTGGAAACCCAAGGAGGGGCACCGTGAGTCGGGCCCGACTCGACGGCACACAACAACAACAACATACCCATCACCCAGCTTCAACAATTAATGTTTTGCCAAAAAATAGAAAGTTTTAAAATAGTATGATACTCTTGACTTTTGAGAAGCTTATCCTGATCTATGTAATAATCCATTTGAAATATTGGTAGAGATTTGAAGGAAATTAATTTATGCCAAGGAAACAGAGAGCACCTATTTAAGGTTGTAGAAAGCCCTAGAAAAATAAATCTCAAGTATCCATTTGAGGAGGATCTGCAAAATCTGGCTTCAACCTGCTCTTCCACCCTCATCTCTAATCGTTCCCTTCTACCTGTTTGTACTCTAACCGCCTGGGGCTCCCTGCTATTCTGTGAATGTACCATTCATTTGCTGTGTTTGTGTCCTTGTGCATGGTTTCCTTTCCCAGTTTTCTCCTTGGCCACCTGGTGAACTGCTATTCATTCTTCAAAGCCCAGCTCCATTGTCCCTTCTCTTTGTACTTTTTCTTAATCTTTCCAGTAAAGTTAATTGGCTCCTTTATAGTACTCAATTCAGTCATATATCATCTTGGGTTAGAAGTGGTTGTTTCTTTCTGTTTCCCCAATTGGACTATTTCCATGGCTTTGCCTTATTATTTCTGTGTCTGTAATGTTTGGCACGTAAATTACTTTTAGTAAAATTTGCTACATTGTTGTTTGTTGTTGAATTACCAGTGGAAGAAGGTCATGACGCTGGGAACAAATTCCCAGTGAGGTAGGAAGTGAACTCACTTTCTTAGGGTTTTAAAGCTGAAACATCATCTATTCCAAGCCTTTAACCCATTGGAGAGGAGATTGAGTTTGGGAAAGGAGAAATGACTTGCCAAAGGCAGAGTTAGGGAGGACTGTGACTAAAACTTTGACCAGTAGGTGACCTGCTAAACTAGACAGAAAGACTCTTCCCACTAGCCCAGGGCCAAAACTAGAACCCAGGACTCCCAAACCTCATGCAAAACTAACCTGACCCTGAAATTTACTTTTCCCACCTTTTCTTTGTACATGTATTAGATGCTTTCACTGAAGAAGCTTTATAAATAAAATGGAAAGAGTAGACTGGAAAGAGCAGCTTTGCTTTTGGTCAGTCGCATAACTTTAGGTCTTCAGTATTCTCATCTGGAAGTTGAGGGAATGACCACTCAGAGGGAGCAGAGAGCTTTCACCTTGCACGCCATCTCTGCTGACCTGCAGCACTGGGTGGAGACCTGCAGCTGGGGGCGCTCTGTAAGCTCAGCAAGGAAAGTGATGGGATTGGTTAGCTGCTGCCGGGGTGCAGGTATAAGGGATAGTGGCACATGAAGTGTATTTTTCCCCTTGCTGAGCTGATGGTATTAATGAGCCTTCTAGGTGTGCAGTTTTGTGACTCTTGAAACCCTTTTGTCTTTTCTAGATTTTCATTATTTTTCACCCTTAATCAAAATTTGTCTGAACTAATCGAGCCTCTTTGTTGTTACAGATATGAGGACATGCCTGCCCATAATCACTTCAGAGAGGTAAGTTGTAATGAACTTTGGCTTTGGTCAAACTTCTGGTATGGATTAAATCTATTTTAATTTATTTTTTGGGTAATAGATGTGTCCTTGAAAATTATGAATTTCGTGTGGATCGAATCATATTTGAAGTACATTAAGTGAATTTATTTTTTTAATAATCCTAAACTAAATCCTATTTAATTCCCAATGCCAATTTAATTCTTTCTAAATATGAATAAAGGACCTCTGGTGGCTTAGTGCCTAAGGCATCTGACTGCTAACCAGAAGGCTGACGGTTCAAACCCACCAGACATTTCTCGGGAGGAAGATGGGGCAATCTACTTCCATAGCGATACCGCCTCAGAAACCCAAGGAGGGGTTGCCATGAGTTGGATCTGACTCAACTGCAGTGAGTTTGGTTTGGTAAATATGAATAATGATCCTGTAATGCATATGTTTTTAAGTCGTAAATTGCTCAGCGTTAGCCTTGGAATTGGCATCCTGCCCAATGAGGCAGGGAAGGGCCTGAAGGACTCAGAGAAAGTGGTTTTCCCAGAGACTCCACCCTTCCTCATCCATCTTACACAGTCATGATTCCTTCTTCTGGAATTTTTACTGTCTCTTCCCTTTTTCTCCCCAGTTCCCTAAATACACACACCAAACCAAAAATAAAAACTGAACTCATTGCCATCAAGTCAATTCCAATTCATGTCAACTCATATGACAAAGGATTTTCTTGGCTATTATCTTTATGGAAACAGATCGCCAGGTCTTTCTTCCTTGGTGCTGCTGGGTGGGCTCAAAATGCCAACCTTTAGCTTTGCAGGTGATCACAAACTGCTTTGTGCCACCCAGAGACCTAATGCACACACACTGCCTGGCTAATCCCTGCACATCCTTACATTCCAGCCTAAATGGCCCCTTTTCTTGAAGCTTCTCTTCTCAGTTCCTCCCCATGTGAGTTGGGTGTTGCCCCTGTGGCTATTGCTGAATCAGCGTGGCAATGTATGTGATACTGTGTTAGTTAAATTTGTATGTCAACTTGGCTGGGCCTGGTCGAGTGGCTGGGCAGCTGGTGGTAGTTATTCCCCGTGATGAGACTGGCAATCAACTCCATGGTGGGATCTACCACAAACAGCTGTGTAGCTGCCTTTGAGATGTGGTCTGCTTCCCACATATAAGGAGAAGCCTTGGGGATAGTCTCTAGCTTATGGCATGCTTAGATCCAGCATAGGAGCTCTGGTAGCATAGTGGCTCAGGCACTTGACTGCTAACCAGAAGGCTGGCAGTTCAAAGCCACCAGCCACTCCTCGGAAGGAAGATGGGGCAATCTACTTCCGTAGTGATACTGCCTTTGAAACCCAAGGAGGGGTCGCTATGAGTCGGGGCCGACTCGACGGCACATAACAACAACAACAACAGACCCAGCATAGAGCCGTGTCATTGTTCACCAGCCTGCCATGCTCTTGACGATCTTGCGACTTTCAATGGACTTGAATGAATGGCCTCCCGTGTGGTTTGGTAACATCAGGACTGTGCCATTTTATTTGTCAGCCTTGGGCTTGTTAGCCTCAGCAGCCAGTAGCTGCCTGAGTAAGAGATGGCTCTAGCTTCAGTGGGCTGGGAGCAAGAGGCAGAGCTAAAGCCCAAAAGGTTGAGGGGCTTTCAGTCAGCTACTGGAGCCTGGCACTTGGAACTTGGACTTAAAGCCTCCAAATTGTAACGATAAACTTCTGTTTGTTAAGGCCATCCCATTTGTGGTATATTCTTGTCAGAGCGGCACTAGGTAACCAGAACAGATACTGTATGGAGCATTGCAGAATGGAAAGAGCTGTGTTGCCTTGGGTAAATTGCATAATTTATCACATATCAGTTGCCCAGTGTAGACTGTCAGCACTTTGAGAGCGAGGACTGTGCCTGGCTAACCTCTATATCCCTTAGTAAGATTTTGTTAACTAAATGGTCAGCTATCCAAATCCTCATTGTCTCTGAGGTATAGCCCCAACCTCCACTCTTACATGAAGCCTCCTAAAATGACTCAAATATGCAGTTTTCATCTTGCTTCTAGTACTTACTGACCAAATCCAACAGCTCCTTTTTGGTTACATGCTCACCAATTTCATGGCCAGAGGAATGGCGGGTGGGCGGTAGCACCGGGGAGATCTCAAGGGCTGCTCTGGCTCTAGACCTTAGGCTGGGGGTCAGGAGTAGGACCGAAGTCTGTTGGAGGGGCCTGGTAAGAACTTGGCAGAGCCCCCATCCCAGGAGGGACTGCAGTATAGGCAGGACGCTGCAGCAGAGCTAGGATTCAGAAACAAAGCAGAAGCCCACCTGTGAGAACTATACCCACACATGGCCAGCAGAAAAAACAAGAGACATTCTGGGTAGGGGAGATGGCCAGCTAACTGAAGGTCAACCCTTTATAAGCACTAAAATGTAATTTTTCAACCATTTTTGATTGATCTTCTTATGTGTTATTTATTAAACATGATCCAGAAGGTCTTTGCCATCTGAATATTCAGAATAGTCCAGGGACCCACAGTTACTAGGTTGTACTGGGAAGCAAGAGTTATAATACATGTTTGTCAATCAGTGGACCTCTTAGAAACTCACATATCCTCTTTTCCTCCTCAGCACTTGTGAAGTGCCTTCTTATGTCATTACCCTGGTTGATTATACAGTTGATTACTTCAGTGCTTAACTAATCTAACTGCCAGATTCTCATTTAAAAATCATTGTGTGTGTTAATTTGATCACTTTCATTGACTTCTAAATCCTGCATCTTCTGCAAGTTTCAAATTTTCAGTTTGCCATCAATTTTCCTTGAGTTTATACTACAGCAACAAATGACAGAGTAGCAGGCTTGACACAAAACAACAGGAATGTTACATGAAACAGGGATCAGAATTTCAGAGTGAATAGTACAGAAATAGTTACGACAAGCAACTTAGCAGTTATCATCGGGTGATGAGGACTTTTCATGTAACCCTTCCCAGGGGTGAGCATCAGGACCCTCTGGTGAAGGGAGAGAAGCTGTGGTGTGTTCCGATGAGACCATTGGGTATTCTTGCAGCCTTGAATGGGTCCCATCACTGCTTCTAATTGTAACTGCTACCTTTTCCACCTGCCACTCTTCCCCTTATGTTTCTAACTTTTTTCTTTCTCTTCCTGTTGCTTCTCTAGCAGGGGTTGGGATTCATTGCAACAAGACTTAACTTTTAAGGCATTGCCAGCCAATGAGAGGACACCTGCTTCATGGCCTGCATGCCATAGTCTTAGTCATCTGTGTGTATGGTCCCAGCAGCACTACCAGCTTACTCAGGCTTTCTCCAACAGGCTTTGCAGCTACTGGCTCATTGGAGGTTTCTTCATGATCCTTCGAGATTGTCATGAGGCAGGACTACAGGCATGATTCTGGCACTGACAGAAGGGCAGATAGAGAGATGTTAGGTGGCTAATCTCAGAATCACCCAGAAGAGACACCTCTAAAACCCAGAACTCTTGGGCTGCTCTCCTCATATCACTGCCCCTGCTCTCAAAGAGCAGTTAATTACCATTGTACATTTTTCATTTATGAAGTGGTATTTGTCTTTTCTTTAATGTAATATGTTTTAAGTGACCTTGACTATTTTTCAAGCATCCCCTGAAGTCCCACAATAATATGGTGGTCATTACTGTTGAATGCTGTCAACTTGGCATCAAGTTCACAGCAACCCATGCACACTGGGCCCAAATGCTACCTGGTCCTGTGTCATCCCCATGGTGGGTTGTGGATTAGACCATTGTGGCCCATGGGGTATGCATTGGTTGGTTTTTGGAAGCAGATCACCAGGTCTCTCTTCCTAGTCCATCTTAGTCTGGGTATTTATTGAACATTCTTTACATGCTAAGCACTTTGCATAGCTTATCCCCTTTAATTCTTGCTATCCCTGTGAGGGTGGTGCAGTCATCCCTGATTTGCAGATGCACAACTGAACCTCAGCAGGACAGGACCACATAGCTAGTACAAAAACGTGGTAGGGTGAGGATTTGCACTTATCTCTGCCTTGACCTCTTGGTGGCACAGAGCATAGCAATGACCTTTGTGCACTCTCTCCCAGATCCTCTGCTGTTGAACCTTTAATTCAATGCTTCTCTCACATTTTTGAGCCAAGGAATTTGATGAAAGTTGTGGATCCCATCTCCATGTGCACATCGACACACAAATTTGTGTCCAACTAAAGGAGTTTCATAGCCCCCCCCCCAAGGCCTATAAGAGCTAATGCTTTCATTTAGAAGAGCAAAGTGTCTTTTTCAGTCTCAAATGAAAGTCCTTTTAACTGTATGTGTGCATCAGATGCCATGTGACAGGCAAGAGGACAGCCTACTATTTCACGGGCAGCCACTTTTTCTCCTGATTATAAGACTAATACATTCTTCTTGCAGCAAAGTGTAAGGAAGAAAATATTTGCCTATAACCAACCTACCATTGAGTAAAACTACAGTGGACATTTTAAAAGTATAGTTTTCCAATCTTTTTCATCTGCTTTGTTGTCTCTATAGTTTGTCTTTTACCTTTGGAGACTCCAGTGTTGTTACTAACCATCCGTACATCTTGCAGGTATCAGCGCAGTGTAGAATGGGCTGCAGAGCTCCTGCGTAGGCAGGGGCAGGAGGAGAGTGCTGTGCACAGCATCCTCCAGGATTACACCAAGCCACTTGAACTCCCTTGTTTGCAAAGGTACGAAGAGGATCATCTGCAGAGTGAGCTAAACTCTGAAGTGGATCCCAGCATGGAAGGCCCAGCAGGAAGAGAGAAACTTTCTGTGATGAATGGAGACACTGGAGAGTCAGATGACATGGTGGACCTGAACAAGGGATCTGCCTGCCCACAGGAGGGTTCAGGGCAGGATGCCGTCACTACAGATAGCTCTGATGGACTCACAATAGAGGGCACTGCACCCCTGTCCCATGTCCAGCATAGCCACCATGATGACCTCATCCCCCAGCATGGTTCTCAGCCTGAGGATGACCGGCACATGGATCTCCTCTCTGCCAGAGAAGGCGGGGCTGGTCACGAGTATGTGCTCGTGGAGGAAGTGGTTCATGATGTGGGCACAGGAGAGGATGCACCGAGTGAGGAAGTAAGTTAAAGAAAACAAATTATTCCCCCAAAGCCATCTGCTTCTGACCCAGCTGAGAGTCTGGCTAACCAGCATGTCCATTATTCTTTGAAAAGTATCACAGTAGGAGGTCCTGGATAGAGTGGGAGGAAATGTGGAGCAAAACTCAAATCATAAAAAACACCAGGCTTGGCTTCCAACCAAACCAAAGATAGGCATATGAACTGAACATTTCCAGTAAGTAGATACAATCATGGGAGAATAGAAGGGCTATCTGTATATGCACAGGGAGGCAACACAGGAGGCAGGAGTGTATGGGAGGGAAGGACACAGGGAATAGGTAACTATGGGCAGGAAGTAGAATGGGAGCTGTTGCATTGTGGGAAATTGTAGTCAAGTCATCAGACAAAGTGTATGTGAACTGCTGTATGGAAAATGAATTTGCTCTGTAAACTTTCTCCCAAATCACAATAAAAATTTAAAAACAGCAACAACAACAACAACAACAAAAAAAAACAGACTTATTGGTCTGATAGAGACTGCAACCTCAGAGACTATATGGCCCTTAGATAGATACTCTTTAAGCCTGGAACCATAGCTCAGCTTTCATCCAAACAATAAACAGGCCTATAATGTGAATAATAACACCAGAGAGGTATGCACTCATTGGAACAATCAACCATGAGAGATCAAAAGGGCAGTGTTTGCCCAGGGATAAAGCTCAGAAGGTAGGAAGGAATAGAAAGGACAAATGGAAACGTGAACACTGGGAGGAAGTAGGAAGAGTGCTGTTTTATTGTGGGGATTGGAGTCAGTATCACCATAATGTGTATAAATTGTTGAATGGAAAACCAGCATGCTCCGTAAACTTTCACTTGAATTGCAAAAAAAAAGTTTAATTTAAAAAAAAACTGTCCTTTGCTAACATCTAGGCACAGGCATTTATTTGGTAAGCAGCTGGGACGTGTGAGAATTGTGCAGAACTCCTTGCTGCAAATGCTCCCAGAGATCCAGGAGACTCCAGGTATACTGGTCCTGGGACACATCAGCTGTGAGGGCTGTTTCAACTGTTGTTATGTGCCGTCGAGTCGAACCCGACTCATAGCGACCACTCCTTGGGTTTCCAAGATGGTATCACTACGAAAGTAGATTACCCAACCTTCCTTCTGAGGAGTGGCTGGTGGGTTTGAACCGCCAGCCTTCTGGTTAGCAGTCAAGTGCCTTAGGCACTACGCTACCAGAGCTCCCCTGTTTCAACTAGAACTTCAAATTTGTGAATGACTGAAGTTAAATATATATATATATATATATATAAATGAAAGCTGGTTTAATATTATCCTCTATTTGATAGAAATAATCATGGTAATTATTATTTCTGTCAAATAGAGGATAATATTAAATTATTATCCTGTGGAAGACATTATGAGAGAAGTATTAGAGAGCAGAGTAAGAGCCACTTTATTAAGGGACTCACTGTGGAGATAGTTGTTATTGTTAGTTGCCATCATGGCTGCAACTCATGATGACCCATGTACAACAGAGCAAAACATTACTGGTCCTGCACCATCTTTACAGTCAGTGTGCTTGAGACCATTGTTGTAGCTACTGTGTATTTTGAGTGCCTTCCAACCTAGAGGCGTGATCTTCCAGCACTATAGGAGACAAGATTCTGTCATGATGCATAGGGTTTCATTGGGTGATTTTTGGAAGTAGATCACCAGGTCTTTCTTCCTACTCTTAGTCTGGAAGGTCCCCTGAAGTATTTCCACCATGGGTGACCCCACTGGTGTTTGAAATACCAATGGAATAGTTGGTCTTATAGTGCCTAAGGCATTTGACTGCTATCCCAGAAGGTTGGCAGTTCAAACCCACCAGCCACTCCTTGGGAGGAAGATGGGGCAATCTACTACCATAAAGATTTACCCCCTCAGAGCTCAGGACCAAAGTCACAGGGGACATCAAGCTCAACTGGCATAACATACTACACAAAACATTGTTCCACGTCCTACTTTGATGAGTAGTAACTGGGATCTTAAAAGCTTGCAAGCAGTCATTTAGATGCAACGATGGGTCTCTCCTCATCCAGAGCAAAGAAGAATGAAGAAAATCAAATATTCATGGAAACAATTAGTCCTAGCGACTGGTACACCATGCGATCTGCAGCCTATATGACTATGAGACCAGAACTAGATGATGCCCGGCTACCACTGTCAAACACTCAGAGTGGGATCTGTGTAGGAGATCCTGGATAGAGAGGGAGAACAATGTAGAACAAAACTCAAAGTCATTTGGAGAAAAAAAAAAAAGGAAGGGGACCAGGTTTGCTGGTCTGTTAGAGCCTGGTGGAATCACTGAGACTATGGCCCCTAGCTGCCCTTCAGGTCTGGAATTGAACCCACACCTGTGATTTCCAGCCAAGCAAAAGACAGGCATAGGAGTTGAACATTTACCTGAGGTAGATACACTCTTTGGAGAGAACAATCATGGGAGAAAGAAGGGCTGCTTATGCACAGGGAGACAGCTCAGGGGGCAGAAGTGCATAGAGGGATGGACACAGGGAAGAGGTAACTATCAGGAGGAAGTGGGAAGGGAACTATTGTATTGGGGTAAATTATAGTCAATGTCATGAGACAAAGTGTATGTGAACTGCTGTATGGAAAGTGAATTTGCTCTATAAATTTTCACCCAAATCACAATAAAAAAAAAAAAAAAAAGATTTACCACCTCGGAAACCCAATGGGGGTCGCTATTTGTCAGAATCAACTCAGTGGCAGTGAGTTTGATTTTGGTTTTTGAGCTTCCAGTGTCATAGCAACATGTAAGCCACCACTTGCTTGATGTTGACAGATGGATAGGTGGATGATATTAGATAGGGTTACTCTGGAATTATGTATAATGTAAAAAATTAGAAACAGTCTAATGGTTAAGTAGTAAGTGAAGCATCCTTTTGTAGAAATATTGTGTAGCCTGTACATGAGGTTTATGACATCTTATTAAGAATGCTTGCATACTTGTGAAGTACAACTGACTGAAAAAAGAAGCAACCTATAAAATTGACTAACAAAATGGTCTAACCCTGGCAAGAATTCGTGAGTAGAAAAAAGGAAATAAAATGTTAATAATAAAAAGCAAAAACATCCTTTTCTACATTAATATTAAAAAGTCATCTTTTATAAATATTAAAATGGAAAGTGTTTTGTGACATAATTTTTACCATAGTAATTTTTTTCACATTCATAACATTGACCAAACAACATGTAGATCTTGAAAATTTATAAGAAAAGAATCTTAATTTTAAAATGCAATATCCTCTGTTTAATCTATAGTGTCCCCATTTGTTCTAATTTGTTTTATTTTCTTCTTTTCAGTCAGTGCAGACAAAGAGATTAATATGCAGAAGAAATCCATACAGGATCTATGAGTATTTGCAGCTCAGCCTGGAAGAGGTATGTGCTCATCATGGTAGTATTTCAGCCATTGGTTTCCAAGCCCTCACCATCTGTTCCCAAAGGCCCGTGCACCACCTATACATTGTGCAGTTTTTGGCAAATGCAGTACTGAAGTTACCATAGGTGGCTTCCAAGGTAGACTTGCCTGAATTTCACTCCCCAGCCTTTATTTTGTTAACTCTGAGATTTCAGTTTTTAACATTTCAGAAATTGGGAGATTTCCCTATATCATTCCACAGAGGATTTGAGGGGTTAATCTAAACACTTCTTTTCACATCAAGATTTCAGAATAACTGATTATTATATCTATGAGTTGGAATTGACTTACTGGTACCTAAAAACAAGATAGATATATGTGTATATATATGTGTGTGTGTGTGTGTGTGTGTGTGTGTGTGTGTGTGTGTATAGGTATGTGTGTATATATATGTATATACGTGTATGTGTGTGTACACACACACACAGTTGTATTGAGGTATAATTCATTTAAAGTCTACACTCATTTACGTTAGTATAAAAGTCTACACTCATTTACATTAGTATATTCACAGAGATTCACTCATCTTTAATAAGCTGTTGATACATGATTCAAATCATGTAGTGACTGCTAATTTTTTTTAAGTAAATGGCTTCTAGGTATTCTGTGAAATCACTGAGATTTTGTGTTACCTTTATATATTGCAGTAGCTGCATTCTTAAACATTAACTAAATGTGACTTTCTGTAAACCACATCTATTTCCCCTCTGATTTGGAGTTCTTCTATCCTGTGGTCACACTATTTTCATTCTTTGTTTTTTTTTTCGCCAATGCTTATACTGTATACAGGAGTCCCTGGGTGGTCCAAACACTTAAATGCTCGATCGACTACTAAACTTAAGTTTGGTGGTTGAAAACCACCCAAAGGTTAATAGGAAGAAAGGCCTGGTGATCTACTTCCAAAATAACAACTATCGAAAACCCTGTTGTTCTGGTTCCCTAGTGCCGCTCTGACAAGAATAGACCACGAATGGGATGGCTTGAACAAACAGGAGTTTATTCTTACAATTTGGAGGCTTTAAGTCCAAGTTCAAAGTGCCAGTCTCTAGGAGCTGGGTGAAAGCCCTCAACCCTGGGGTTCAGCTCTGCCTCCTGCTCCCAGCCCACTGGAGCTAGAGGCATCTCCACTCAGGCTGCTGAGGCTAAGAACCCAAGGTCGACAAATGAAATGGCACAGTCCCGATGTTACCAAACTGCACGGCAGGCCATTAACTTAAGTCCATTGTAAGTCCCAAGGTCAGCAGAGCATAGCAGATTGCCGAGCAACGACATGGCTACATGCAGGATCCAAGAGTGCCATAGGCTAGAGACCATTCTCAAAGCTTCTCCTTATATACAGGAAGCAGATCACATAACCAAAGGCAGCTACTCAGCTGCTCCCAGTAGATTCCACCCTGGAGTTGATTACCGGTCTCATCATGGGGAATACTACATCCAGCTGCCCAGCTGCTCAGCCAGGCCAAGCCAAGTTGACACACAAACTGAACTACCACAGCTATGGAGCACAATTTTACTCTGATGTACATGAGGTCACCATGAGTTGGAGTTGCCTTAACAGCAACTGGTTTGGTTTTTGTTTTGTTTTGTTTTTTATATTGTACACAGTACACTGTGTGTCTCTTCAGATCTCCCCCATTCTTTAATCTAATGCCTTGGGTGTGCCTCTTCTCCAGGAGCCATCCTGCCTCTCTCACAGCTTCTACAGTGTTTGGCACAGTGTCTGGATTAACATTGGGAACTTTATAGCTGTGTCCACAGAAGAGTATGTTTGTTTCCATGTGTTCTTTGCCTCCTGGTTGGTGCTTCCTACCTTGCATAGAGGTCAAAAGTACAACACATAAACTTCCAGAATAGGAGAGGGCATTTGGAATTATTTCATCTCCTATTTTACACGAGACAGCTTAGACTACACCATCACATGTGGTAGCCTCTAGCCCTGTGTGACCATTTAAATTTTAATTTAAGCTAATTTAAATGAAATATTTAAAATTCCTCAGTTGCACCAGCTACATTTCAAACAGTTCACAGCCACTTGTGGTTGGTAGCTGTGTACTAGACAGGTAAAGGATAGTCCCATTATCACAGAAAGCTCTGTTGGACAGTGCTGTAGATACTCGTTCCCCAGACTTCTCTGAGCCTAAGGTGTCTACTCTGTAAAATGGGGGTGAAATAACACCTTGTTCATAGGCTGTTCTGGAAATTAAATGAGATAATCATTTCATAAGCTGTGATACATGATTCAGTGCAGTGCCTGGTACATTGTAAATGCTCAATAAATGTTAGTGCCTGCTATTTTTGTCATTATTATGATTATTACACAAAGCTGTTTAGCAGCTTGTTGACACTCTTTCTCTTGCAATCTCAAAAATCCTCACTGAGTACTTACTATGTGCCAGGCACTAGCTAAACACCAGCAATACAGAACTAACTAGAGTATGGCTCTTGAAGACCAGAATCAATTTGATGGAGCTAACAACAACATGTCAAAGACATATACAAAGCTACAGGCAAAAGATGAAATGGGAAAACAATTTGTGGAGTATATAGTGCAGCACACAAGAAATGATCTTACCTTGCCTCATTTTTCTCATCTATAACATGTAAATAGAGCCTCCCTCTGAGGATTGTAGGGAAGATTAAATGAGATGCCATATATGCAAAGTGCCTTTCCTAGGGACACTTAACACTATGTCCTTCTTCATTTCCCCAGCCCGTTATAACTTAGCTGACTTTCAAGATAACAGCTTTAATGCAGTTTGTGGTTCAGTCTCCCTTCTTAGAAACAAAATGACAGATGTTTACAAATGGATGTATCTTCTGGAATTCAAAAATGAGTATCAATGGGATTTGGTTTGTAAGTAGTTTGCAGAAGGATATAATTATGCTCTGGGGGGGGCTAACACTCACAGGAAATCACTTTTTGGAAATTGTTATGTTGTAAGGTGCCGTTGAGTAGGCTGCAACTCACAGTGACCCTGTGTACAACAGAATGAAACACTGCCCAGTAGTGCACCCTCCCCACAATCGTTGCTATACTGAGCCCATTATTTCAGCCACAGTGTCAACTGATCTTTTTAGGGTCTTCCCCTTTTTCTCTCTCTACCTTACCAAGCATGATATCCTTTGCCGGGGAATGGTCCTTTTTGACAACATGACCAAAGTAGGTGAGGTGAAATCTGGCCATTCTCCTTTCTACGGAGCATTCCAGCTGCACTTCTTCCAGGACAGATTTGTTTGTTCTTCTGGCAGTCCAAGGTATTGTCAGTATTCTTCACCAATACCACAATTCAAAGGCATCAATTCTTCTTCAATCTTCCTTATTCATTGTCTGGCTTTTTACATGCATATGAGGCTATTGAAAATACTATGGCTTGAATCAGGGGAACCTTAGTCTTCAAAATAACATCTTTGCTCCTTAATACTTTTGCAACAAATTTTCCCAGTACAATACAACATCTGATTCTTTGACTGGTGTTTCTATGAATGTTGATTGCAGATCTAAATAAAATGAAATCTTTGACAACTTCAGTCTTTTTTCCCTTTATTGTGATGCTGATAATTGGTCTAGTTGTAAGGATTTTTGTTTTCTTTATGTTGAAGTGTAATCCATACTGAAGATTGTAGTCTTTGATATTCATCAGTAAGTACTTAAAGTCATCTTTGCTTTCAGCAAGCAGGGTTGTGTCACCTGCATATCACAGGTTGTTAATGAGTCTTCCTCCAATCCTGATGCTGCATCTTCTTCATATAGTCCAGCTTCTCAGATGATTTGCTCAGCATACAGATTGAATAAGTATGGGGAAATGATACAACCCTGATACAGTGTCCTTCCTGGTTTTAAACCATGCAGTATTCCCTTGTTCTGTTCGAACAACAGCCTCTTGGTCTAATACAGCACATGAGCACAAATAAGTGTTCTGGAATTCCCTGTTGTTGCGGTGTTATCCGTAATTTTATGATCCACACAATTGAATGCCTTTGCATAGTCAATACAACACAGATAAGCATCTTTCTGGTATTTTTTGCTTTCAGCCAAGATCCACCTGGCATGAGCAATGATATCCCTCATTCCATGTCCTCTTCTGAATCCATCTTGAATTTCTGGAAGTTTCCTGTCAATATACTGCTATAAACGTTTTTAAATTATCTTCAGCCAGATTTGACTTGCTTGTGATATTAATGATATTATTTGATAGTTTCCACATTCTTTGGATCACCTTTCTTTGGAATGGGCACAAATATCAGTCTCTTCTGGTCGGTCAGGTAGCAGCTGTCTTCCAAATTACTTGGCATAAACCTTCAGCACTACATCCATTTGTTGAAACATTTCATTGGGTATTCCATCAATTTCTCGAACCTTGTTTTTCACCAATTCCTTCAGTACAGCTTGGATTTCTTCCTTCAGTACCATTAGTTCTTGATCATATGCCACCTCCTGAAATAGTTGAACATCAACTAATTATTTTTGGTACAGTGATTCTGTGTATTCCTTTCCTCTTCTTTTGATGCTTTTTCAGTGAAAACCTTATGAATAGCAGCAAAACACTGATGTATTACTGGAAAACTTTATGAATAACCCTGAAACATTATCTGATAAAGTGCCAAAAGATGAGCCCCTCAGATTGGAAGGTACTAAAAATGCAGTGGGAGAAGAGCTGCTACCTCAAAGTAGAGTTGGCCTTAATAACATGGATGGAGTAAAGTTTTTGGGATCTCCATTTGCTGATGGGGCGTGACTCAAAATGAGAAGAAACAGCTGCAAATATCCATTAATAATTGGAACATGGAATGCATGAAGTATGAATCTGGGAAAATTGGAAGTTGTCAAAAATGAAATGGGATGCATGGAGCTCAATATCCTAGGCATTAGTGAGCTGAAATGGACTGGTTTTGGCCATTTCGATTCAGACAATCATATCATCTACCATGCCAGCAGTGACAAATTGAAGAGGAATGGAAT